GTGTAAAAAATTTTAACGTAAAAAAAATTTTTGGTGGGGGGGTAAAACCCCCCCGCCCGGTTTTTTTTATAACCACCGTATCCCGGCCCAACCGGCCCCAACCCCCCCCCCCCCCCCTCCTATTAATCTAACGAAGATTTGACAAAGAAATGATTCAATGGCAGATCAGTCTGATTAAAAGTCCGTTTACAGATCTTCGGTAGGTGCTCCAGAACCTGAGATCATGAGGCTCATAGCTCAAGCGTCACACAAATCTCAAACTTTTTAATAATAAGGATAAAATACTTCAGGGATCATTTTGATAAAAAGATCAAATTCCGTATAAATATTTTTAGTACCTCAAACGTGTTTAAAATGAAACATCTGGATGTGCATATAGGCGTTTGTGTATGTGAAAGAGTTTGTGAAAAGTCGTCGAAAATTTGAACAATACGTTCTGTTTTTAAGGTTTTTTCCTCTCTCTTCTTCTTTCTCGTTTTTTCGTCCAATGATTAACAATATAAACATAATTATAGCAATTATTTGTCACAAGATGCACAACAGCGTAGTAGGTGTAAGTTTGGTCTTGTTTCAAGCGATTTTGCCGTTCAGTTATTGTCCATCTAAAATGAAATCGGTATATGAAGGTTTTTTGAACACCTTTTGAATGGTAAAAGCTAGAGAGCTGCAGTTTTAAAATATGGAAAGAGGAGATCACGGAGCATCTTTTTACAAGCGGAATATTTTGTAAGAAGTTTTCTACCTACCAAAAAGCCTGGTGGTTCTTAGAAGTTCTATTGAACTCCAAGATGTGGTGTACGTGAAATAGAGTATAACTTGATATTCTGAGATTGTAGATCGATTTCGGATGAGTTATGAATTTTCTAAATTTACATGAAAAATTCTGCAAAGATCCTTCAAAACACCGGTCTGCCCAAACTTCACTCTCCTTCTTTTACTCATTTTCTTTCGCAAACATTTTTTTTTGACGCAATGTTGGTACAGAATATGCATCAGATTTGCGGACTGGTTCATTATAAACTAGCACAGTTTGTAGATAATTGATGGCCCTATATAATATGTAAACATGATCACGTTTTCCCTTCAGATCAGTAATACTTACTGTGTTGTTAGACGTCTTATGATAAATAATTGCTAGGGAAGAATGTATTGCATTTAAAGCAAAGGTATGGATTCTGGGATGAGATGAACTATTTACATTTATCAGATCATTAAACATTCAGAAAGTGAAAAAGACAGTTGGATAATGAAATGAGGAAGAGTTTATTTGTTAAAGGAAAGATCATGACTATTCATAAACTTTAGATTTGCTTTCTATTGCGTAAGGTGCATAAGCATTCATTAGCGATATTATTTTGAGTTTTCTCCTTTACTACAGACTATGACAGAACTCATTTCCGATAGAATCAAAAGGAAGATATCCACAACGAGTCCGACCTTTCTTAAGGGTCTCGTCAGTAGCCAGGATTTCTTAGCAGGGTGGACTCAGCCCTGCTATTTTCAGAAACCCAGAAATGGTGGTGTGAGTTTTCTCTAGCCTATAGCAACATCCTTTAGAGTATGATACTCTCTCTCTCAAAAATTGTTGACTTTCATTCAATGCACATCTGTCAGTAAGTTTTACAGATTTTCCGCCTCTATCCAAAATGTTGATACCTAAAATATCAAAGAACGTCGGTGCCAATCATTCGGTGACGAAAGAACCGTTTCTTCCTGGCTCTGCTAAATCTAGGACAAATCGGGCAATTGCATATGTTAGAAAACCTGTGTATAAAGATCATCATTCTCCAAGGTCTCTAAAGATGGGGACGTAGCCTGAAGCTTTAAAGACAACAGTTCGGTCTTCAAATGCTCGATTTTATCCCCTGGAGAAAAATCTGCGATATTTGAACTGGAGGACAAAGCACGTGATCAACTGCCGTATAAATTGCTATAAAGCGATGTCTGCGACTGTGAGCGCGATCTCGAAACACGAGGAACATCTACTTAAGAGATAATAATGCAACAAAATTTGTTTAGCAGGTTAACCCACTGCCCATACCATTTTCACTAGACCGAATGAATTACACTTGAAAGGCTAATATAACTTCGAAAATCTGAGTCAGATTTTCGTGTCTACGCAGAAAGACTGCGTGCTGTGTAAAAAGTTAGAATGAAATTCAAATAAAAGCAATACTACATGACAGGGCAACAAAAGAACAAATTGATTTATTCTGATACTGTCAGATGCTTTGATATGAGGAAAAAGTGTGTATAACTATAAAACAGTACATTACAGAACAGAAAGAAAAACTACTGTATTGTAGTAAAACGTCAGAAGCCTATGAGAAAAGCACAGAAAATCGTTGAAGGCCAAGATACAGTCATTTCCATGCATCACATGCAATAAAAGCTAGACAAAATACCGGAAGTATCGATAATAGTGAAAAAGAAGCTAAAATTTGCCTGAGGTTTTCTCGAAAACTCTTTAAAATCTGTTCAAAATCCTCTTTTAGACATTCAAAAACCATTGGGTTTGGTCAGCTCTTCAACTCTAGCGACAAACATATCTTAAAATTCCATCACATGCTTTTAAAGTGTTGAAAAGGGAACTAAAATATAAATTTTAGTAGGTAGGTTTTTGAAAAAAAATTTTTTGAAAGTTAAAATAAAAAGGACGTGGGCCGATAAGGCCACTTTGCGTCCCCCAACAAAATACAATAAATTACAGTCCCTCCCCTAATACCATCAGATATTTCTACTTCTTCGATCGATGGATTATCTTTAAGGTTATCAAGCATAACCGGACTGAGATAAATAGATCTCAGCATCAGAGTCTTGAAATAGAATTCCATGGAAATTTATCATATCCTCACAGAAAGGAAACTAAAATTTAAATATGTGCATAATGTATTTTAAACATGAAATATAAATGTCCGTCTTTCAGAGTAATCACTGATCCTTCACTAAGGGATAAACCTTACATCGATTATTTTGATCGTGCAATTTATTAAATGCAATTCCACCAACATTTACCATCTATTACCATGGATTAAAAACCTTTTTGTATCATTATCATTACCACCACCATGGTAATCGTTCGGTAATGGATTTTTTTATTACCACAGGGCTCTACTCAGCAAAACCAATACTGTCCAAAACCATGGTAGCCATCGAACTCCGACTTGCGCAACTTTTTAAAAGATATTTTAGCTATATAACCATGCAATTCAAGTTAATACTTCATCATGACATCAATATCTGCCAATCTCCTCTTTTATTCATCCGCCAGATACATCACCCACAAATGCAAATCTCTCGCTCAACATAGAGAAAGATGTGGTAAAGCGCCTCTATAAGATGGCTAAATTGCATCTCTGGCACTTTTTGTTCTAGAGTTATTAAGAAAAAAGCACAGACACCGTTTTCTGAAATCGTAAGCCTCTGAATAAAAGGTGGGTCCTTCACCTCATTTTGAGCTTTCAAACGAAATTTTATTACACGTACAGTATAAGAAGCAATTACTTGTTATTCTCAGAGACCGCTTAAAAATCCTGTCGGGTGAAAAACTTTATCATAGATAACTCGTCAAGCGTTTCAGAGATAAAGTTTTTTTTTTGAAATTATTATTCCGTTGAAAAGTTATAGCGAAATTAATCAAAAGGCCTTTCTTAAAAAACTTGTTTTTTCTAATTTTAAAACCCCTATAGCTGAGTGCTGGAGGACTTCTTTTTCAAGGGTAATTTAGCCTTTAGAGACTGTGGCTCATTCGCCGATGATAAATACAGTTAGCAGAACCAGAAGCACGCGAAATACCTGATTCATTTTATTCAATTTAAATTAAGACTTGTATGCTGTGGTAGAATACACTGAAAAGGAGAAATACTGTCTCGTTACTGCTGCAGAACAACGTTATTGACCAAAAGTTGTACTGCATATTAACGAGGTTTGCGCACCATTTTTGTTACTTTCACAAACTCTTCAATGTTTTGTGTCGAAGGATTCGATTTTCCACTTTTAGCAGATTCTTCTCGAGTCTTCTTTAAAAAGCGTTCAACAAATTGCCTGAGTTGTGGATTTTGATCAATAGCTTGCTTGACTTTATGTAATTCAATAAATCTTTGCCAATATTCTAATGGACTTTCAACTAATTTAATAGCTTGCTCTTTTGCATTAAAATTTATGAATATTCCATTTTGAACCTCCTCACTTTCTAAATACGCTTTCAATTGAGGACTCAACTGTATGGCATGTTGAATAAAATAATTCTTCATCCATTTATCATATTCCTTTCTAGGATTACGAACTAAACGAAAACCAGCTCTGATTGGATGTCTTGCTGCAACAAATATTTCTATTCCACTGCGAATTTTTCCTGAAGATTCATTAGTTTCTGGTTTTCTTTAAAAAATAGAAAGATGTGCTATGGTAAAATAAGTTAAGACAATGTCTTTTAACAAAATAAAATCAGTTATATGTGTACAGCTTTAGTCGAAGATCAATGTTATACGCTAATAAACTTCGTTTTAAAAGTAATCTCATGAAGGTTTCAGCTTTACATCAAGAAGAGGAAAATGAGAAGCGTAAAATTAGGATACGTGACTCTATACAAAAATTTCATTACGTATCAAGCAAAAAACAAATTACTCCAAAATAAAACCTGAAAATGGGAATCCTTATGTAGGAGTATTTCTCCTACCTTTCACCTTCCCCCTAAACAGCCTCTCAAACTTGACCAGTTTGTGAACAACACCTTCAATAGCATTTGCCTCTTAGTGTATGTGGTATGATGTATGTTTCTTCTTGTATGGGGTTTTTTCAGTGTTGGTTGAAACCTAATATCGATTTTTCTTGCCGGTTTTCGGTTCAAAAACCAAAACGGGGGCATACCTAACCAAAATTAACTACACCACTCTTTTGGAAATTTCTGCTATGCTGTTCATTCTTGTTTTGTCAACTAAAACTTTAGAACTCGTCAAAAAAGGTCGTGGGATATCCGATTGTAAGGGAGAAGGGTGCTACTGTCTGCAGAAATGATTCGACCAAATTCTGAAAAACTGTGTAGATATTAGGACACTTAAGCACTTTAATGGAGTTAGAAAAGTTTTTCTAAAAAGTAGTGGAGTGGTTCTGAGTAGTCTTAACGAGAACCGCCAGTTTGCTTAGAAAGTACAGCATAAAATATCGATGCGTCATTAGAAGAAAGCACTCTACAGTAAAACCTCTCTATTGTGAGCACCATTAGAACCGTCCAAAAAGTGTTCACTATGGGAGGTGTTCACTTTAGAGAGGTGACGCATGTTTTGCTGCAAAATGAAGAAAAAATTCCAGAATGTCTACTTCTACACTAGTCCTGAGTGAAATAAGAATTATTCATTCTCTTGTTCATCTCTTTTTATTTAAATATCCTTTAGCTGAAAAAATCTTCAAATACAACACCGGATTGAGTTTTGTACAAAAAAACCTATCGTTGTTTGTCTTTTTCTTTTTTGTCTCGTCCGAGTTATCATCTTTTCTTGATCTACTTTCATATCTTATTATAGTATAAATTATTATTTGTATTCGTTCAATATCACGGAAATGAGACATTTTTGTATATGTCGAAGAAATTCGAAACAATAAGCGAGTGGAATGGACTTCATAGATATATATATATATATATAGATATATGTAGTTTAATTTATGCTGTATCCATGGATATGCACATGAAAATATAATAATAAAATATAGAGGAGAACGAGCGAATAGAAAAATGTACTTTTTTTGTCCGTAAGAGAGTATGATCAGTCCTGACTAGGGCTGTGACAGTTACCAGTTACCGTTACCAGCGTTCCCCGTTACTAACGGTAACTATAATTGACATAAAACTAATAAGCATCGTTCCTCCTTAGTAGAGGTAATGGTAATTGATATACAGTAAGAAATCCTTTACCCTCCAGTAACGAGGAACGATGCTTATTAATTTTATATCAGTTACCGTTACCTCTAGTAACGGAGAACGCTGGTAACGGTAACTGGTAACTGTCACAGCCCTAGTCAGAAGTTCTAAACGTTTATAACACACAATAAGATGAAAGAGTAGGACTCACTATTCTGACTGAGCGTCTATGCACGCTCTCTAGAAGATCTTCAAATAATTTTTGATATTGTAATATACACACTTTTCCAGTTAGTCTCTTTATATGTACAGCAAAAATCTTCTTTTATTGGTCTTCGAATTTCGTGCATTTCATCTTTACTGTATAACTGCGAGTATTCGTCTTGATAAAAATACCTGAGTTCCGTCATCCTTCTATCGCAAACACAAGCACCGGTTACTAAATAACTTAATGTGAAACAAATCAGATAATTCATGCGTGACAGAAAAAAAACGTGTAGTGTTATTCACGTTATTCTTACGTTTTCTGTAATCTTCTTTCTAAATCCTTGACAGTACCGCACGTGTTATACCCATTCGACAGATACGGACGCTCGAAAACCCGTCCGCAGACGCCTGTAGCAATATCCGTTCTTCAATATAGAAGTATAGTTACATAGATAAAATACACGCGTATCTGGATCCGTTGGCCCACGTAGCATACTTATATATGACTTTTCGAAGTGAGGTACTGAAGAGACGTACTGAAAATAATTGTTTTAGCATTTCTATGTTTTTCACGAGGGATGGCCGACATCGTAGGGAAAGAGATATCAATACAATACGTGAACCTTTAGCACAATGAACAAGATAGTAGTGAGATATATGAGATACCAATAAAATACACGAGATATTAGGAAGATATTTAAGATATTAGTAAAACGCATAAAGGTGTCAGTAAAACACACGAGAAAAGACCTTGACGATGGCCTATTTTTCTCTTACAAGAAGTCCACTTCTGGAAGTGTTTAAACGAAATAGTTAAAGCAGCGTTTTAATTTTTTCTAGTAGTACTAGTAGCACAGTTTTGTGCTAATATCCTTTTTCTTTGTAAAGGACACTTTAGCTGATGCTGTGGCGACCTGACATGCAGACGAAAAGCAGAAAGAGAAAAACAAAGAAAGAACTCGTGTTATGTATAAGGCTATAAGTCCTAACTTGCTACACTCGTTTCGAGCTTTATAGTTTTCTCATCTGCTCTGCTCCTCCCCATCCCTGCAAATGGGATATATATTCTTGATGGGTGCACACTAGAACTTGAGCTTATCTCTAGTACTACAAACCAGTTAACACGTAGTCAGACTCCCCTGATACAACAATCGTACCATTGGTGAATAATGCCATATTTTTTGTCTAAACCAATAAAACTAATAAGGCAAACAATTCTCTTAAAGTGAGACATCTTCAAACTCTGTTTTGTTGTAGCGATATTCAGTTAAGACTTTTGCAATCTGCTTCTACTTCCAGTTAGGGACAATGACAATCTTGGTATAACTGTAAGAGCTTGCTTATAAACTGAATGGTCCGAACATTAAAAAAAATGAATGAGATAACTATAAATAACGTGAGGAAACCGTGATTGATAAAGTTTTTTGAGCTCTGTAGTTATCAACTGCAACTAAAAAATCAATTCAGTTTTAACGTTCTGTACCTCTATGCCACATTTGTTCATCATGCTTAATTCATAGACACACTCGATAATGTTGCTTTTCAGTTATGATACTAACGCTAAGCAAGGCTAGAGAGCTGAGCGGTCCTTGATTTTGTTCAGAATTTTATGCTATTTCTGACGGCTATATTGAAATTACCTTTAGCGAAATCTCCTAGGACTAAGAACTACGCTGTAGCGGTTTTCCAGAAAACGTCTTCAAAAACTTTTTTCTGAAAATTTTACACATACTGCATGCGATATAGAAGTTCACTGGCCAAATCACTATTTTAGATTTGACTTAGCTGCACGGGCTTATTAAAAACTTTCAAAAATTATAATTTTGTCCAGTGCTATATATAAAAAGTCGCATGTTGCATATCCATGATTTAATTGAAAATCTTCTCTTGTTTCTCAGTTAGCGAAATATCTTTGATCAGTAGTAACATTAATAAAAGTTTTTTTACCTGTCCCGATACCTGTAGCTGCAGTACAGCCATTTAGAGTTTCTTGAACGGTAAGGCTGAATATGCGATTTTTCGAAAAACTTCTTTAACTGAATTCTTTCGCCTTTAAACTGAAATCTAACATCACCACAATGATCAGTGTAGACGAAAACACGCTATTTTCCCCAACTTTCGTCCACTAAAAGTAGTGTGGGAAAACTTTCGGAATTTTTTTCTTTTCATATAGATTTGAGTTGCTCTTTTGCATAGCGAAAACCTTAGGTCTCTAACTGCCTTCCTTAAAAAGTTATAAGGATTTTGCCGAGTAGCCTTCTTTCAAAAAACGGATAGTAGTTTGTAAAGGAATTTCATACGAATTTGAAACAATTAACAATAGAATAGGGAGGTTATTTTTGTATAACGCAGGTGTCCAACATCAGTTCTATCATTGTTTTCGTAAGGACAAAGTTTGACTACCCTTGTTTTCCTTTCTTTCATATACACAGACATAGATTTTTTATGTACTTCGACGTGTTTCAGAATAAGTGAACTGAACTAACTTTCCTTGATAAGATGAGTAGAATATGCATCATGAGGTACATTTTGTTTTTATCACTTACCGCTGTGTTTGGATCTGGGGGGAGTCGATGAACAGTAATAGAACTCGAAGAATGGCGAACCTTTCTATAATAAACTCTTTATTTACTGTACAATCTAGTGGATTAATTTATTTTCAAAAAATCTGAACGGAAAGGAGACAAGGGACCCATAAACGAATAATAGTTCAAAAATAGGCACCGCTACATTTCGGTACAATCTGGGTAAAAGGGAAGCGAAGTTCGTATCGAAAGCAAAGAAACTGCGAATTCGGTATAATACAGGATGGCATGATGAGAATTAAGCTATTCATTTTTATCCTTCGTTTGAAAGGAGACGCGCGTACGCATCTCCTGCGGAATAAATTTTCCAGCCGAGTAAGCCTCAATTTGAGAGCTTATCGCAAGTTTCAGATCCACCGATGTGCAATGGCAAGACCCTCGACCTGGGGGAAGAACGTTGCTGATCGTCCTTTCCGTCTCTGGCAGGTAAGTATGCTTTTGCATGAGAATATTCGGTTATTTTATACTATACACTACTGCAAAAATTATGTTGTAGACAATGTGAGTCATCTATTGTTTAAATTTTGGTTGAAAGTATTTAGTGGGCTGATTTTGTGTTGTAAAGAATTTGTGTGAATAGCATATGTGTATGGTCCAGTTAATGATTTTACTTACACAGCTCTTCTGTACCTAGGTCAAACAAAGGAATTTCACTCAGTCAGTAGTTGCAATCCGTGCAGGATGTGTAGAATATATTTTTCTACGCATAGATATAAATCAATATCAGTCTCTCTCCTTTCTTTTTCCCTTATTTGCAGAATCAAAAAGGAAGAGAAAAATTATCGCTACAGAATGGAAGATATTTCCGTTTTCTATTATCAGTTGCACGATTCAATTGAATCTAAAGCTGAATTATATGTTCTTTTTCTAATGAATGAAACAAAAAAGAAAAGAAATTTTATCTTGTAGTCTAAATGTTAATCTACTCTTCTACAGAAGGAAAATATTGCTTATTATGAGTTTAGTTCAAAATCCCAGAAAATGTTTTTTGTGCACGATTACAGAAAAGTGCACGGTTATTCAAGGAGTAAGAGGTAGTTTTGCGTTTTGCGTGCAGATGACCTCAACAAATAGGATGATCTACGAACGGCCGTCTCGTTTGATAAAAATGAGACTTATTGACTGGAATGTACGATAAATCTTAAACATTGATGTAGAGTGAAGGCTGTAACAGTATCATTTTATGCCTTGGTTAACATTTGGTGAATTTACAATGTGGTTATACTCTGCGCGACTTGTTAGTATGCCAGTCATGTGTTCATATAAATAAAATCTTAAACAATGTGTTTGTAAACATGCAGTAGGATTTATGATTCATCTGAATCTTTATGTTATAGCTGATCCTGCTAAATTACACGTGTTAAGAAAAAGGTGTGGACGTCCTAAAAAGGTAGGAAAAGCATTTATTTGTAAATTATAGTTTTTGGATAAAAAGAACTTCATGCACATTTCTGCCTTTTCCGTGCATCTTTCTGTAACCAACACAAAAATGTCAAAAGATTTTTTAGTGCACGGAAATCAGCAAATCGTGCATAATTCTGGAAAAAACAGTGCACGGGAAAATCCTCGTCCTACAAAATCGCTCAGCTTAGCGAGTTAAATAAATCAGGAACTATCCATTTCTACTTCTTATCTCATCTGAACGAGAAAATGTTCGATAACGTGTCAAGCTATTTTTCAGAAATAGGTACCATCTGATTTTTGAGATATAGGGCCCGCAATACCATTGCGCAGTTTCATCAAAAGATAGTATTGTTATTTCTTATTGAGTAGCTAGGCTAATTCTAAATCGATTTTTTCTTACTATCAAGACTTTCCGGCTTCTCCTCTGGCCATAGTAGTCGGCGAGGACGAACTAGTAGACGAAGTTTCACTCTGAGATTAGGATGAAAATACTTGAAAATATCGGTATATGGCTAGAATCAGAACAGATTTTTTTGTTTATGATAATAACACATGTAAACTAATTAGAATAAAATCTAAGTTTAATTTAGATATGGTTTACAAGATGTATGTTTGGTTAATTAAAAGTGTATGTTAGTATTAACATAGAAGGAAGACTTGTCCATCAAACATACTTTAAAATATGTGCAATATTTTCGTACTGTTTGTGACATTTATTAATCGTTATGACTCAATTTACCAACAAGGTAACAGACTTCTGTTATCGAAAAGCCTATGATCCACTCTTCTTCACAATAAGTCCTAGCAGATGAGGAAACTAAAGTGGGACGTATTGAGGTCATTCTGCTAGACCAAATTTCAGAATATTTTGCAAATTGTCTCAGAAAACGATACCATTCATAAAGACGTGAATAAATTTATATATAAATATCCTTTAAAAAACTCCTGGCCATGTAACAACAGACAAACTGGAGAAGCTTATAATATCACTTTCATTGATTTTTTTGCGGCTTCTTTTTGGAAAAATATCAAAGCTCTTAAGCCGTAACTCTGAGGACTACTGACTGATAAATTTATAAAAACCGAAAGGAGTTTTAAATTTTTTAGCCCTCAGAATTTATGTTTATTTCATCACGTAGAAACAATCAAAAAACGATATTCGGTAATACACGGTCTATAACGTATAAACAAAATCTGATGTGAGAGCGGAATCA